AAATCTTAGTTGACGACAGTGCTCCAAGAAGTTCCAAGAAGAGAACAGTTGCTGATTCATATTGACCTGTCAGACGTGTGTTTGTCAAAACCAAAACTAGCATTTTGGAGGGGCCTTTCGACAAGTTATGTTTATTGCTTGAAATGGAGGCAACAGTTTGAATCTTAGCCTCATGTGTAACAGATTTATGTTCAAGACATATTATTTGCATTTCATATAGTGTTTGGTGAAGCCAGTTAAATTCTGATTGTTGATATTAAATCACACTTTATTGTGTTAATGTGTAATTGTCATGCCTCATCAGTAACAATTAGGGGCTGGAATGTTAGCACCATTTATAGTAATTTCATGTTTTCATGTTCTTTTGTTTTTGAAAAGATTCAAAAGGATATGTTGCTTTTATTGTGAAAAGTTTTGTAAAAAAATAAAAAAATAAACAAGTAAACAGTTGCTGTTGCACAAACCGACACGTAAAACAATCTCTTGTCCATCCAGAGCAGGGCATAGATTTGGTTTTGGCATTGGTGGGGACGGATGATTCAACCACCGAACCCTGCCCTGTTTCCTTTTTTTTTTAAATTATTTTTGTCTTTGCTTCTTGATAAAAAAAGGAGACATACTTGCCTAAATATGCTATTCTACATGCTTTAAATATTACATTTAAAATTACAATTCATACAGGGAGTGCAGAATTATTAGGCAAGTTGTATTTTTGAAGAATAATTTTATTATTGAACAACAACCATGTTCTCAATGAACCCAAAAAACTCATTAATATCAAAGCTGAATGTTTTTGGAAGTAGTTTTTAGTTTGCTTTTAGTTTTAGCTATTTTAGGGGGATATCTGTGTGTGCAGGTGACTATTACTGTGCATAATTATTAGACAACTTAACAAAAAACAAATATATACCCATTTCAATTATTTATTTTTACCAGTGAAACCAATATAACATCTCCACATTCACAAATATACATTTCTGACATTCAAAAACAAAACAAAAACAAATCAGCGACCAATATAGCCACCTTTCTTTGCAAGGACACTCAAAAGCCTGCCATCCATGGATTCTGTCAGTGTTTTGATCTGTTCACCATCAACATTGCGTGCAGCAGCAACCACAGCCTCCCAGACACTGTTCAGAGAGGTGTACTGTTTTCCCTCCTTGTAAATCTCACATTTGATGATGGACCACAGGTTCTCAATGGGGTTCAGATCAGGTGAACAAGGAGGCCATGTCATTAGTTTTTCTTCTTTTATACCCTTTCTTGCCAGCCACGCTGTGGAGTACTTGGACGCGTGTGATGGAGCATTGTCCTGCATGAAAATCATGTTTTTCTTGAAGGATGCAGACTTCTTCCTGTACCACTGCTTGAAGAAGGTGTCTTCCAGAAACTGGCAGTAGGACTGGGAGTTGAGCTTGACTCCATCCTCAACCCGAAAAGGCCCCACAAGCTCATCTTTGATGATACCAGCCCAAACCAGTGCACCTCCACCTTGCTGGCGTCTGAGTCGGACTGGAGCTCTCTGCCCTTTACCAATCCAGCCACGGGCCCATCCATCTGGCCCATCAAGACTCACTCTCATTTCATCAGTCCATAAAACCTTAGAAAAATCAGTCTTGAGATATTTCTTGGCCCAGTCTTGACGTTTCAGCTTGTGTGTCTTGTTCAGTGGTGGTCGTCTTTCAGCCTTTCTTACCTTGGCCATGTCTCTGAGTATTGCACACCTTGTGCTTTTGGGCACTCCAGTGATGTTGCAGCTCTGAAATATGGCCAAACTGGTGGCAAGTGGCATCTTGGCAGCTGCACGCTTGACTTTTCTCAGTTCATGGGCAGTTATTTTGCGCCTTAGTTTTTCCACACGCTTCTTGCGACCCTGTTGACTATTGTGAATGAAACGCTTGATTGTTCGATGATCACGCTTCAGAAGCTTTGCAATTTTGAGACTGCTGCATCCCTCTGCAAGATATCTCACTATTTTTGACTTTTCTGAGCCTGTCAAGTCCTTCTTTTGACCCATTTTGCCAAAGGAAAGGACGTTGCCTAATAATTATGCACACCTGATATAGGGTGTTGATGTCATTAGACCACACCCCTTCTCATTACAGAGATGCACATCACCTAATATGCTTAATTGGTAGTAGGCTTTCGAGCCTATACAGCTTGGAGTAAGACAACATGCACGAAGAGGATGATGTGGACAAAATACTCATTTGCCTAATAATTCTGCACTCCCTGTAGTTTTATATGTTAATTAAATAAAAGGCAAAGGTGCTGCTACAAAGTATTAGTTTGATAAGGGTGTGCATATTTGTGCAACCAGGTTATTTAAACTTTTTTATTTTATTTTTCCCCCCTTTAAAGGTTTCTGTTTGTTTTTCAGGTGCATTGTACATTAGAGGTCACATAAAGGTGGAAGAAGTTTTGGAACTATTTGACTTGCTGTAATTTTTTTTACATGACAAAAACCTGGCATTTGAACATGGGTTTGTATATTTTTTATAGCCACTGTACATGCGTTTTATCCTCAGATTAAAATTATTGTTATGTGCTTGATGTGCCTCACCTTTGGCCCTGGCTCCTCCCCTCTGACTGCACTAGGTCATATTGCCACCTGATAAAATAACACATTGATTCGTGCTATATAAAAAGTGAGACGTGTCAATTCAGATTCTTTGTCAAACATACACTAATGAAACAATTTACATCAGCAGCCTAACAACTGTCATGATAATAAATACTAGTTAATCTATAGCACCAAATCATCAGTCAGTCACCTGTGACCTCGCCTCTCCACCTCTGTCTGAGCTACAACATGGCAGAGCTGCTTCTGTCACCTGATAAATAACAGTGAGACATTCCACATACATGCAGTCACACATGTGCTTCAAATACAGTCATGAACCAACAAGTCATCATCCAACTTCACCTGTGATCTTGTGTCACCATTACTCTCTGAGCTTTGTGTTGGTCCTTCTGTCACCTGACAAATAGGACATACATGACAATAAGAATAAAATGTGGAGCTGCTTCAGTGTTTCTGTCACTTTGTGCAGATCGTGACTCATCAGTAATGTTTGTAGTGTGAGTGCATTTTTAAAACAATTTGTGCAAACTGTACTACAAGGTGGAATATTCCCAAAATCATGACTACCTCATGATACTGGAATGTGGTCTGTGGTCTGACGACAATTTGTCCACAACTGACATCTACAGTTCTCTCTGTTAGGTAGATTGTGCCTGGATCCCTCTTGTGTATCTTACATTTTAAAACAACTGCAATATTATACTACAGCAATGGTGAAATAAGAGAATAAGTGATAACTTTATTTTAAAGCAGTAGGGTCTCACATTTCTTCTTCTTCTTCTTCTTCTTCTTAACACCTCTGAAGAAGAAGGCTGCCAGTTTAGAATTAATATCCACGTGTGTGAAAAGGAAACACCCAAAGCTACAAAGCTACCATCTTCTTTCAGTGTATGCTGGCAGATTTTACCACAAAGCACAAAGCAAACACGTTCTCACAACAAGAAGACTATTCTTAGCCAAACCAGAAAAAATGGTGACAGGTCTCACCAGTTTCAGGGGTTAGTTAACTAGAATCAGCAAAAGCACTGTGGTTTTAGCTTAAGAAATTTAAAGAAGTCAAAAATACTCACTGTATTAAAATAATGTTTGGTAAGTTTTTCTCTTTATATTTCTTACAGCTGCTCAGTTAATGACCAAAATGGAGGGCTTGAAAACAAGGGGCTCAATTTACAATTTCACTGTATATGTAAAATGAAAATAACTGGCTGCATAGACTGCAGCTAACTGGCCCTTAAGGCCATACCATACCATACCATACCATACTATATTAGGTTACACATGAATAAAGTATGAAAGCAATATTTTCACCAGTTTAACCAAAATTTCCATACTAATTGAAATGTCTTTTCCAAGGCAGAAGGCCTTTTTTTAAACATTAATGTTAACATCAGTCAAGTATGTTTATGAGGCTAAATAATAAAGAAGACCTTCATCCATGTACATGTACATAATTATACCATGACCTAGTTACACAAGCACACCAAACCATCACAGCACAGCTTCTTTTCTAAAGCACAGCTTCTTCCAGCTGCTACATGACATAAGTTGAAAGAATCAACTAACCAATCTCTACATTTTTTATGTATATCATTCACACAAACCCGAGTTACACTCAGCACATGATTATTAGGACACTAGTTTGCTGTTTCATTTTTCGCCACTAGATGTCGCTAAAACAAAGCTTTTAATGAGTTAACTCATTTTCATTAAAGCTTATGTTAACCATTCCTCGCCATCAGTCCCCTGACCGTGGTCGGGAGACGCAAGGGGAGATGCTTCCTCCAGGGCCGAAGTTTGTCCTCCTTCGGGGTTAACTCCCTTCACTTTTGTGGAGTAGTGAGGCAGACAGAAATCAGCTGAGGCACCGGAGAGTACTGATAATAACAGTACTGCACACTTCGAAAACACACTGCATAGGCTGTAGCCCATTAGAACGCTGCTCCCGGTCGCCCTCTCTACCCATGACACACTGGCTGTTTCCCAATTCATGGTCTGCAGCCTTAAAGTACGTACAGCCTCAACGATCCTCAAGGGCCACGTACGTAAAGACCGCTAAGGCCGGAAGTGCGAGGCTTGTGAAATGGGACGTCTAGCCTCCGTTGCGCTGCCCAGGTTGCCTAGCAACCATGATACTAACAGCTGGAAACGTTTCATACAGCTTTGTTTAACAGAAATGAAGGAGAAAATCATTTGTTCAAGTGTTTGTTTGTTTCTACATGAGCTTTGATCATTCGCTGTAAGATTAAGCTCAGCTATTGAACGGCGTATATTTTAAAGTAAAGGCTTTAAAACCAAGTTAGTACAAACGTCACTAATGTTACATAACTTTGCCGACATGTGGCCAACAGTAATGTTTTAATGTTCTTCGTTATTAAACATTTGCACATAAATACCGTAAGTGACATAATGTAACAAGTGTCACCTGGCAGTTTGTTGCTCTCTGCCAGGTGATTGGCTGAAGAGCTGTGAAAAGGTAGTGGGTGTGTGGGGTGAAGTCAGCGCTCTTCTGTGGAAAAAACCAGAGGCAATTAATTCACTCAGGTGAGAGTGGGTATACTGTCGGTAAGAGACTTTTGCCATTTTTGTTTGGATCTTTTGCATGTGCCTATTTTTAATGTGTCATTGGACTTTTTTAGTGTGACCACGAATTTTAATAGAAGAATTGATCAAGCCCTAGATCGACTGCGCGCAGGGAAACTGATCAATATTGTAGGTATATTGAGTGTTTGTTTTAGCTTCATGATTTTGAATGGTTTCATAAAATTGCTATTTTATTGGGTAATATTTTAATTGATAATGTTGTTTGTTTTTCAGCTGTGCTGTCTCTGCTGTCCTTTTTTTCGTTCTTTTGATTGATTTGTAATTTTGTTTTGGTTAGTCTGTCCAGCCGTAAAGGTGGTTATTGATTGAGAGTAAGTTGTGTAAGGGCGGACTAACCTCCCTTTTGTTTTTGTTTTTTTGTTTAATTGTTTGTGCCACTTCCCTTTTTCTCCCAGATCACAGGCCATACATAGCACTGATTCCCAGCTGCGCTGAGACCCGAATTGTTTGCAGTGTGTGCCACGATTGCAGTGTCGCTAAGCGGGGTGTGACGGGTTGCAGTGTTATTTTCACACAGTTTGTGTGGTAAGTCTCATGTGCAGCTGGGATATCAGCAGGATGTGTTGTAAGTCCTGTCTGGAAATGACTGGGAATTATTATGTCTAATTTATGTAATAAATAAACGATCAATTTATTTCTTTGCCCGTTTACTCATCCTTTGTCCTCGGTTACAATAATATTCAGTACTTAAAGTTTACTCTTCTTTTTTTTTTCGGCAAAATTATCCACACCCACCGCTGCGCTATGCATTGTGGGATATGTTGGGCCACGAAGTCTACACCGCCACATCCTTAAAATTCAGGGAAATGAAGGACGCATTTGAGGGCCGCATTTCGAGCAGCCTTTGAATTGGGACAGCCTTCGTCGCGTGGCGGTGACGTAACCGCACTTAAAATGCAGCCTTTAAGGCTGCAGACCCTGAACACAGCCTCTCTCTCTTTTTCTTCCGCTCCCCGCGTTTCCTTCACGCGCATGCTCACACACACTCCTTACTGCACCCAGCCACACACAAGACGGCAATTCCCGCAACACTTAGAAAGCGGTTCAACACTGGTTCACTAGTGCTAACCAAAGTACAAAATAATGCATGTCAAAAGGACAAATTAGTGATGGATCAAACAATAATGAAGCATCACTAATAGTGTGTTTTTCAGACACTATGAGTGAAACCTCACATTGACGCGTGTATCGCTTTAAGAGAAATCATGTGACCGGCACAGCTGCTGTGTCTTGTGGTGTAGAGGCGCCAAATTCTGAAGCCTAACTTTTTGACTCATTTGCATTTATGCTGAGGGGAGGACATGAGGCACTACAACAGGTTCTGTTGTAGTGTTCTGTTGTAGCAGAGAAAAAAGGACATTTTCTCCAGTCTGAGATTGTTTTGATATCATATTAGGGTAAATTAATATTTTTTATCTAGATAAATGTGTATTTCCCCCTATATTACAAGCAGTTAAGCACACACCACTGTCACGAGCACTTTACTTTATAAACAAAACCTTTACCTTTTATGTAACATTTTTCACTTATACTAAAGTGAAACAAAGTTTAAAAGTCTACATTTGAGATACCGTATTTGTGATTAGTTAAATTATGATTAGTCAGTCATAATATTTTGTTATAATCAAATGACCTGAAATACATACACTACCCTTCATTCAGTTATAATTCTATTATAAGCTGGTTATGCAGCTAGTTATGTTCAGTCTTTATCCAGGTTATCTGCAGTGATTTTTTTTATTTTTTTAATCCAACACATGTCGCTCTTGAGTGTCACACCAACACAGTGTGGACACAGAAAAGTGAATGTCCCACACACTCCAAGACATCATCTACTCCTCTCTATCTTAACTAGGTTAGTGTCACATGAAGGTTAACTATAATCTTCATGGAACACAGCCATGAGGGGGAGCACAACAAAGAGCAAGAGAAGACTGAGACAACATGTATACACAGGAAAACATGTGGGAGCATGTTTTCCTGTGTCTCATCACAGATGATGAGACACAGGAAGCAGAACTAGACCCAAGAGACAAGGAATAACAGAACAAAATAAAACAGACAAAAACTAAAAAGCACAAAAGATCAGATCAATAACTGAAGACGAAAAATTTAGAACATAAATATTCCATCCATTTGCTTCCGCTTATCCTTTTGAGAGCTGCGGGGGGACACTGGAGCCTATCTGTCATAGGCCGAAAGGCGGGGTACACCGTGTCTGCTGTAATTATATCACTCTGCTCCACACTGATGTTTGTCCTGTTCGTCTCTGCAGGTGAGATTTAACTTTGAGTTGCATAGTAAAAATGTTTCCCTAAGACTTGAGTTTTTAATATACTGTACTTTTATAAATGTTAACATTAAATACTGTGTGTGTTTCTAATTGGCTGCTGTAGAAGTGAACAGCTGTACTTTGACCTTTAACCTGTCTAATCTGCGTTGTTTCCTCTTTCAGATGAGAAAAACCATCACAGCTGAGTCTGGACAGAACGTGACTCTGACATGTCGAGCTTCAAACAACAACATCGTGAGGGTAGAGTGGAGCAGAGATGACCTGGGAAAAAATGATGTGCTTTTGTACCGGGACGGACACGTTCACTCAGATGATCAGCATCCATTATTTAAGAACCGGGTGGATCTGCAGGACAGACAGATGAAGGATGGAGACGTGTCTGTGATTCTGAAGAATGTGACGATTAATGACACTGGAACATACGAGGGATGTACAGATCACTTTCTTTATCTTTAAGTGGATTTTTGTTCTATCCTGATGATCAGAAGAGTGTTTGAAGGTTTCAGAGATGCTTCAGAACAACAGTAAGTGTTTAAAATGAGCTTCTGGCCTTTTAGGTGATTGCAATCACTTGATTTTCAGGAAGTGCTGCACCTGATGCATGCTCGCTCTCTCTGCAGACTATTTGCTGCTGCCTGTCTCTACATGTTTTCTCTGTTTCTGCTGCTTCTTTGTCCTCACTGTAAACAGATGTACTGAGAGACTCCTGCACTGATGTTTCATAGGAAAGTCCAAACAGCCTCACTGGTTCTCCATGAAGAACAAAGATTTGCTCTCTGTGGCTCCAACACAACTTAAAGACAATCAAAGGTGGACAAAGTTCTTCAGAACAGCTGTGCAGGAGGTCATGACCTTTGACTTTATTCATTAGAACAAGTTTATTTGAATTTACTGACAGACAGAGTGAAAAAAAAAAAGAAAAGTTGTCTCTACACCTTGACCTATTTTCGTGTTCATTTCCTGTCACTGTAAACCCCTTGTTACGTTGTTCTATTTATGTGGTTAAATGTAGGTGTGATGGTTTTGCTAAGCAGACGTGTCTGTAAAACAGGATGTCAAAGCGGAGCAAGAGTCAATTGGTTCAACGTGGTGATGGAGTAGAGCTCACCTACAAAGTATTTTTGAGAGTTCCAGACGTCCTTCAGAACAACAGTAAGTGTTTTCTTTCTTTTTCTAAAACTCATGTTCACTCTTTTAAGCTAAAAAACGTTTCAGTTTACAATTTACCTTAATGGAAAATGTGAAGAGAAAATTTAACAGAAAGCCTCAAATTCTAAAACTGATGAGTCTTTGTTCTTTAATCGGACAGCACTGGATGAACTGGTGATTTACACAGGCTACTGGTTTTGTAAACTGGTGCAGGCTGCTGTTGGTTCTCAGGTTAGTCAGAGTTGTGTCGTGGTGTTGTTTGATAAGTAAGCTGAAGCCTAAATCGTAGCAGGAAGAGATGGAGCAGGATGTGAGCTTGAAACTTGCTGTGGGAAACAAACTCGGTGCAGAGACAAAACAAACTTCTGCTTCAAAGACAAAAAAGTGTTCATACATGACGACTGACACGTGAAGCAGGTTAGAATTTGTTTCTGTGGAGATCGTTCAACAACCAAACACTAAAACTTTTCCACTTCGCCTCGTTTTTTATGACGCACTTATTTCTGCGCATCCTCAGTTTAACCTACCAACCACGTAATGCCACGTCCTTTAAGAAACACGGAAGAGTTTGAACGGCAGATTTAGCTTTATTTAAACCTTAAATGTAATCTGATGTGTTCAGGTTTAGATTCAGGTTCAATTATTGAGTGAAAATACCGACAGACTCAGACATTTAGAACAAACTAAGAGTCAGATCAGCAGAAACAGAGAACACGGAAATGTCCGCTGTGATTACGTCACTCTGCTCCATTTTGATCTTTGTCGTGTTCGTGTCTGCAGGTGAGATTTACCTGTTATAAAACAAACTCAATATGACTATTATTAACAATATTTAAATAGTTATTTTCATATTGATTCAGTTTGTGTGTGTGAAGGTGACATGAGGGTCTGTGTGGACTGCGGCTGTAACCCAGCAGTGACAGACACAAAGTGGCACATCCTACTTTCTGAACTTTTTTCTTTCCATGATGGAGATTCTTCAGTCTGCTGTTCACATATTGTGGGATTATTGGAATTTAAAAAGGGGAAGTCATTAGATATCATTTGGGATGAATCGTTATAATTATCTGTTATTTCCCCCTCTCAGTACTTTCTGTTGTGTCATTTTTACCAGTTTGTTCATAGAGGAGAGAGTCCTGGGAAAGCAAGCAGGTAAGTTGGAAGCAGGAATCCCCATGAAGTGGAAGTTTAGAGCTTGAACTTGTTCATAAGTATTGTTAGATGATTGACAGCTTGATGTGAAAAGGTATGCCAGGCTGTTGAGTGTGAGCCGAGAATGCCATGGAGGGAGGAAGAAGGCCCATCCATCCCACAACCTGGGCTCATCTGCAGAAGCGTAAAATTGTACTTTGACCTTTAACCTCTCTCTTTTCTGTTGTATTAATCACATATTTAAATTATTTCACATTATTAATAGTAATTTCACTTTCTCACTTAGTTGTATGCATGTTCACTACAGAGGGGCCTTATGCTCTACACTGAGTCCATTGTAACGGGAGATGCTAAAAACATAACAATGTGAGAGGGGCCAACGTGTAACCGTTTGTGGAATGTTCTTTGTCTGTATATAAGATGTAAGGGCGGTGGCCACAGTTCAGAGATGGTGCTGGTGTTTCACTGGGATGCTCTCTCCACATTGCAGTCTGTTTATTAAACCCACTTCAAATCAAGCTCACTGGGTGTGTTGCAGGTTATTGTTAAATTTTCCAAAACACCATCCATCCTCTTCTACTTATTCTTGTCATGGCCACAGGAGGTGGGGCTGGAACCTGTCCCAGCTACCACTGGGCGAGGGGAAGTGTGCAGCCTGGACAGGTTGTCAGCCTGACGCAGGGCCAACACAGACAGACAACCAGTCACGCTCACATTTACAATTACGAGCAATTTAAATCTATCAATTAGCCAAACCCCACTAACTTTTTAACTCTTTCTTGCATGAGAAAGTCTGTTACTTTAACTTGAACATTTCAAGAACTGTTTACACTCTGGCGATTTATTTTTCATTTTCCAGGACTTTGTCCATTACTTAACGATACTTAAGATTTGCATAGCA